TCGGTCCTCTTCAGGTGCAGGAGCCTAGGTATGGAGAAGAGATAAGGTCCTCTGCAGGAATCGATAGATACGGGTGTGTATTTTTAATAGGGAGACACTATTTGTCTTCTTCCAATGGGTCGAACTGGGAGGTCTCCCTATTCTAATGCACATCCATATGGGCATGACCCATTATGATGCTTAGTAAAGGCCTTTCTCAACAAACATCGCAATTGTTTACCAAGAGAGTTACCCGGGCAAACACACCCGAGATAGAATCATCGTTTTTGAGACGAACGCATAAAAACATGATCGAACTATTTTGGATTTTCTTAGTCTTGCATGAAGGGATTCAACAGCTGCTGTAAACATCTGCAAGCCAGTTGCTTCCATGTTGCAAACGTCCTCTGCCAATTGACTGTCTCCTGTGGTCCACCATTCACTTGCAACAGCTTGCCGATCACTGGCAACGACAATGATCACAACTTTTTTGCCCATCACTTGTGACAAAAAGCAGCATCACCAGTATCATGGGTGGGGTGGGGTGGGGTATGCTGACGTTAGACCTACACGATCCTCATCACCATTGTCATCACCATCAGCAGGCTGGGGTGGGTGGGGTGGAGTGTGCTAACATGTTCTAACGTTCAAAACTACTTGCAGACCTGCACCTCATCACCATTAGCCCGGGTGGGGTATGCCAACGTTCAAAACCATTGCAGACCTGCACACAATCCTCGTCGCCATCAGCATGGGTGGGGTGGGGGTGGGGTGGAGTGGGGTATATAATTGTACACATGGGTACAAACACAAACATAATCCACACCCGAGACATGAAAGAGACGTTACGTCACGTGTGCTCTTGTACATCGTTTCGTGCGACGCAACGAATGAAAAAAAAGGCAACGAAACGTTCGACTACAGTATTATCTTCTGATTCAGGGCGAAAACGGCGGCTCTGATGGCAAGGCACGTGTTGAATGAATGCTTTTGATATCTTTTGATGCTTTACACCCGTCGCGCCGGAACACCGACCCGTTGGTGCATGCGACCATCGGAAAACATCTCCACGGCGACATGTGTCGATCGAACGGATGGACCGATCCTTCGATCCGATCCCGTCCGAGACGGGTTGACACTCCGGGTGCCCCTGCCATGTGGTGCGCTTCGGCTTGAAGGCGGCGATCCTGCGGCGCGGAGAGGAGAAGCATGGCGATCCTTCGGGGTGGGCCGTGATGGCGCAGCAACCAACGGATCTCTGGACATTGTGTGGTTGCACCTTGGATCTCGTTGTGTCTGTTTTTGAGACACGGTTTGAGAATAAGAGACATTAGACACATAAGAACTCTATATCTAACATGGCAAATGGGTATATTGAGAAATCAGGAATAGTATGGAGAGTAGGTAGCTTGTGATCAGGTGATCCACATACTTAGATGGAACTCCTGGAGGTGTTCCCTGCTTCTGAGGGGATGGTTGGCTCCACGCGTCCGCGCTTTGCAACAGCCCACAACAGCCAACCATGGGGCTCCTTTGAGCCATTTTCACCAGCAGTATTGGCCACTTCTTGACCTCAAATCTTGCAAAGATCTCCGGGGCAAATAGGTTGGCCTGTATTGCCATCAAATCTATCTTCTGGTGTGTCTAGCTCCAGAAGCCCGCCATCGAGTGTCAAACCGCAAGAGGTTGCGTCGCGATTGCATCTGGCAAAGACAAGGACCATTAAGATGTGATCTCCGTCCTCAAGGCTTTCCTCATTAGTCTTGCCTCCACGCATTCTCTGTCAGCCTTATTTCCAGCTCATCAATATGTCCTTCCTCAAATGTGGGCTTTTTGAATGAAATTCTTGAATGTGTGTGAATGTCTTGCTTTACAAATGACATACACCGGAACTGCGCCGAACTTCGCATACCCAGAAGAGATATTGCAAATTCAATCGGTAGTACATGATTCTCAATCAGGGCATTCCCTGATGTGGGGTCCCATTCTGCGGCCAAGCCATCAGTCATTGGGAATTCCAACACGGGCAATCTTCTCACTGGCCAACACGCTAAGAATGAAAGTAACGCACTTATACACCCTAGGACAAGAAACACGCGCCATTCATCAAAATTCATTTCACCGGACGGCAACCACTGGGTGCCAACTGCATTGTTTACTCGAGAGGCCATGGGGAGTGGTGCCAAGTTGGTGAATGGGGTTAGAGGGAGACCAACTCTGCATGGCATGGGCCATGGGGTCGCACATTGACCTCCATGAGCTGATGTGAGCGGCCGTCTTGCGGACGGACATGGCACCACAAATTGGGAAAGAGCAAAGGGCAACGCGGCCTGATGGCTCGCCTGAAATGAAATAAGTCTTTACCCAAGCAAGACCCCAAAGAGCATGCACCCTGAGTCCACTTCCAGCCAGGAACATAAAAGAACACATATATATATATATTATATTAACTACATATGGTTTCAAGCTCCCAACTCCCAACTAGGTCTTCTAAAAGAAGGCGGATGAACGCCCTCCTATCCCCATGAATCCGAGAAGCTGGTATACATTCATTCATTGAACTGGCTCAAAAGCTAAGGCCCAAGAACTTGCCGGTTTGGGTCTTTTTCTTTGGGCCAATACCCAAACAATCTGACAAATGATGAGTGAGGGTTTTCTGTGCACAGCTACCTTCAGGCAGCTGGCACGCCAAACCCGCGGCGCCCACCTGGCCAGCCGCCTGCACATCTTCCATGGCCGCCAGCCTCAGAAAGCAATTCCCAAACTCTCAGTGAAATCCTAGGACAATGCCATCGACTGGCCACTCACAGAAAGGCACATGCCAGTCGAAAAAATGGGAGCCCTGAGGGCGAAACAGCCTCTAAACACGATACTATGTAGCTTAATACTAGTATACGGTGTACTGAGGCTCGGTATTTTAAAACAACAATAGACATTAAAAACAAAACATACAGCAAGGATCAGCAAGGGATAGTCTTTTCTGTAAGCATACCCACTGGGACACTCCATCTCAACTGCGCTGCTCCCGTCAACGGGTGCCTCTCTGCGATGCGCGGCCGGAGCATCTCCTGGCGATGCGCGGCCGGAGGACAAAGGGATTCGGGGACCGATGACATTCACTCATTGAGCTTCTAATTATATATCATATATCATGCACTATATAATTGATGTTCATTTCGATGTTCACTCATTTCGATGTTCACTCATTGAGCTTCTAAATGCTTCTAATTATATAGTCGTGTTTAACACATCGAAACTGGCAAATGACCTGTAACTCTGTTGGCTCACTTCCAGGAGTTCCAAATGCACCCAAATTGGAGCTTCGAAACATACCAACAGCTCGTAGCGGGAAGCTCCAGCGTTTGTGCGTCTAGGGTTTGTACGCACCCTAGACGCACAAACGCTAGAGCTTCCCGCTTATATGGAGTAAGGTGGTTTTGGTTTCCACGTTCTACGCCTGCACAGGAAACACCAAATGATGGTCTGGTCTGCCTACGAAGAACAAGAAACCAACAGGGATCCCAGCCTTCATTGAGACTGGGGAGTGGTTTCTTATAGGCTCTTGGCGTGAGCATGATCCAAAAAGAACTCATTGATCCAGAGCAATTGCATTCAAGCAGAATTTAATCAGGAGAAAACATGGTCTTCAAGCAGTGCGCCGTTGGGCAGTAGGATCATGAGCATGCTGATGCCCCGACAGCTGGCTTGCTACGATGCCACTGAGACGATTTGTTTGGTCAGTGTGCCCTTTCTTGAACCCATGCAGCGTCTGGCAAAAGCGGCTCCAAAACGGCATCCACCCTTTTCTCTCTCGCGGGCTGCTGTACACTGCCACCCGCCAAACGCGGAGGCCTGGCTTCGCCAAGGACAAGCCGTCCAAGTGAGTGACGCAATGCCCGGGATCTTTCAACTCGATTGAGAACCCTCATGAGGCAATGAACTACGGTGATTACATCTCTCCCAACCTCTTCAGGCAAAGTCCAGGTAGATGTTCGGCGCTTGGGGCATTTCTTGCGCCAAGCACTGATGGGGCATCTCTAGACTCTACACGTTCGGGGCAAAAGATTTCTGTGGAGTCAGTGGAGTTGAACCGATGAGAGATGAAAAAGAAAGGAAGAACTGAGGGGAACACAGAAGAGCGCTCTGCTTCGATGAACTTTCCAGACTAGAATATCTTCCTGCGACATTAAAAGAAACTCACCTTAGACACCTTAGGGTGTCAGTCCCAGCTGCACCTCTGGTCAGGAAGTCCCAGAAGTCCCAAACTCAAATTGTGATGTTTGCTCTCAACATGTCTCAACCCAACTGGTCCCGTGGATGGCACGACCGGTGCCCGTTGAGGACCCAAAGACGCGTGAAAACGCCGCGAACCGTCGCGGACCGCGTCCACGAGGAGGAACGCCGGAACGAGTCGCATCACCGGTGGCCCGGACAAGCAACGCCCCAAAAACGGACTCCTAGGACCTGCAGTGCCTGGAACTCCTTGTTGCGAAGAAGTGTCGAAGTGGATGGGATGGGATGGTCCGTTTTGTTCGTTTGGAAGACCGAATTCGAGGCCACCAAAGAGGTCAGGGAGTTCAGGGTTGTTTTCACGGTCGTCGAGTCACTTTGAGGCTTCGGACGTCGAAGACGATGTCCATCTTCCCTCCCGAAAAGCTGAGGAAACAAAGGTTCTCTCGAGCAGGCTCACTCATGCACAACTCACACGTCTTAGACACCTGCACCTGGGATCTCTCGGGAAGAGACCCACATGCAACCTGAACATGGACCTTTGGAAGACGATCTTCCTTTACCAGGGCGTAAAGCATGAAACATCCAAATTGAAAGACTCCCTGAAAACATGTTATTTGGAAAAACTTGCCCATCACAAAGACCATCCCTGTCCATTGGTAGTTGAGGGAGGCTATGTCTCTTGGCACCTAGACTAATTAAACACCTAAATCATGTTTTAAACATATAGGAGTTGAACAACATGTGTCTCTTAGCACCTGATGCTTTCCAGCAATTCATGGAACCAACTCTCACCTGGCAGACCGCCCACGGTGGTAAACTGCAGCACTCACTACGAGCACACTGAAAGCGCCCAACACCAACCAAGGCCTCGGTTCGCGCTCGCCGGGTGTGTTGATCACGCCGGTCACCGCGGAGAAATGGGAACTGGGTCGCCCAAACGCGTCCCAAGCAGAAACAGTTCTGGTTGTTCCAACATGGGTTGCTTCATAAACTTTACAGAAGTGGCTGGGACTGGGGACACACCATGAAGCTGCTGTGGTGGTTTGGGAAGCCAGGTGTGGTCCCAACATGGACCAAAACCACCCTGGTCCCCTTGAGCCAGCATGCGCAATTGTTTGGGGCTGATTCGGAGCTGCATGCTGCATCCGGGTTGATCTCTATCTATCTATCTATCTATATCTATCTATCTATCTATCTCTATCTCTATCTCTATCTCTATCTATCTCTATCTAGCTATCTATCTCTATCTATCTATCTATCTATCTCTATCTATCTATCTCTATCTATCTGTGTTTCCGAGCATACGAACCTTTCGACATATAACCTAGATCCTTCGTGCAAAAACCTGGAATGACCTGGGAATGACCTGGGCCAGGACTCCTCCGGGTCGTGTTCGGAGATCGAACCGACTTGTGCGGCGCTGTCCATCCCAGTGGCTGCCAGTTGGAAGTCTCCCGAAGCCGTGAAGACTTCCTCCGAACCAGCTCCTGAATCAGGACTGAACATGCGAACGCGAACGCACCTGCATCTGAACGTTCAGGTGCTGACCACCTACCAGCTCTACCGAAGTCCAAGCGATGGAACTATCGAATCCAATCAAGGAACTGTGAAAAATGATCATATATGGACCTCAGCCAAGCAACTGGAACCATACGGCAGTGGGTCAAAACTGGGGGACGCTGGTGGACACCTGAACATGCATAGATTCCACAGATTTTTGCAGGGGATGTCAACCTACCAGGGTGTGGTGGAAAAGGTTCTGACTCACAGCCATATAATCTAGAGAGAGTCAAAACCTATGACCACGGTCCTCCAAAACGATGGTCAAAGTCAAACCGTGAAACCCTTCAATATATTATGTGGAAAAACGGCAGTTTTGGGGAAGCGACAACGATGGAGGACAGGCGTTGTTCATCCTGAAAACTGGAACATTTGGGAACCCCTCTGTTGTTCTTCGCCTGGTCCATTCGACAAGTTTGGGACCGATAGTCCATAGTTGACGTTGATGTTTGCCTTAATTTTGAATGGATTCTGAGCTGATCTCCAATCGTCAATGCCATCCACCTCAGAGTTGACGACTGGGGTTTGCTAGCGAGCCTGGGTTTGCTACAAGTAGCGAGCCCCAAAGCTTCGAAGGACCAAAACTGTTGTATAAGCTGTTTGCTTCGTGTCGTTTTATTCCAGAAACACCTGGAGACTTGGTTCCCAGTACACCTGCAGATGTAGGTGCTGGCGATGCAAGCGGGGACCGCTTTGGTTATCCTGGACCTCACCTTCCAGTGGGTGGATTGACAGCCGTCGGCCGGTCTTTGGGACGACATCTACTTCAGTGTCTTTGGGTGAGGAAATACGCACACACACACACAGGTAGGGGGATGGTAACTATAGGGATGGTAACTATAGATGACGTGGGCGTCTTATGCCCAAGATTCCAAGATAGACTGCGAGAGGTTGGCGTATTCCTTGCAGAGCAATTCTACGGGGGGTGCGCAACCCCTGCTGGTGTCGACAAACAAAGAGAGGCATGACAGGGAAGGCCCTGGAAATGGTCATGTAAATGTACGTATGTATTGCACAATCTATATATAGTTATATAGTCTGATAGTCTTATATATATATATACATAGTCTTATACATATATACATATTTTTAAAAAATATATATGTTACATATTATGTGCATCTTCCTCAGAGATCAAACTTGATGCTGCTTGAGCTCCCAATGCCCGGCCTTGTTCAGTGCCACGCCACAGTTCTCAATGTCAGCATGTGAAGGGCTTGCTTTGCCTGATGGCATAGCCACTGGACCTTTCAGGCCTCCCACTTTGAATCCTTCTCACAGTCCAATGTGAGAAACCTGCTGCAAGCCCCTATGCTGAAATGTCCTCTAAGCAATCACTACTACGCTATAGTATATATGCTATAGTAGTTGTGGCAGGTTGGTTAGGAAGTTCTTTTCAGGAATATCCAGTCATCAAACTGCCCGTTTCAAAACGGACTGAACCTGCCCTCGTAGATCCCAGGGTCGTGTCCAGCTTGACCGGGAAAACCGAAGATGCACGCGGATCTCTAGGGCTTTCCAAAGCTTTTGAAGACTCTGCTGCTAGGCAGTGCAAACCACCCCCATTCCCCGGCAGCAGGGCAACTTCCATGTGCTTCCTACCTCCTGTTTTTCAGTGTCTCACCCCTCTTCCACCTGACTGATAATTTCAAGAACGAGGCGCTCTCAGCTTGGCAAAAAGCCCGTTTCGCACATGGAAAAGAACATTGAATCCCGCTGTTCAACTGTAGATTCCACAAAGATTCAGGGATGTGTTTTTTTTCCCATTCTAACCATGTCTGATTTCTGGGTTCTCCATTCTGTGAGTCGAACGAAGGGATGTTGCAGATTCATTCCACGCCAGGTTCAACCCCTCTTTCACCATTCAGGACCTCAGGACCCTCATCCCTGTGGCCCCAGGCTGATTTTGGCCAGCTGGCCGCAGGCCTTGGTGTGACATCGAAATGACACAACATCCTCTAGCCTCTATCTCCAATATCCGCCACCGCACATGTATTGTTCAATGACACAACCTCTGCAAACATCTTCAGCCCTTTTCCACGCCACCAGGTTCGCCCCAGTGGCCGCTGCGATGTCCCGGCCATGATGCCGCCGCTCGAAGACCCTGAGCGGCGGCATAACCGGCGGACTTCCAGTTCTTCTGCGTTCGGAATATAGGACTAAGTACAAAACACCATCTACTATTCCATAAATTACTAACATCTGTGTAGGCAATGGATGGAATATCTCTGTTTCTTTTGGTCAAACCTCCCTCCCTCCATTTTCCCCGATCCCGTTGACGCATCTTGACGCCGCTTTCAAGATTCAGGACTTACTCCGATTCGGTCGGACTGGGTATGTGGATGGCATGACCTCGTGGGAAAACAAGGCCGTTGCCGAATCAAAAGCAGGGGATGAACAGGGGAAGAACTCCACGAATGGTCTGTTGGAGTGTCGTGTTCACGACCAGGTCATGAAGGGTCCAGGTTCGATGTCTGTTCAGGTCCATGTGCTGGCTCCATGTGTCAAGGTGCTGGCTCCATGTGTCTGGTATCAGTTCACTGGAGCCCAGGGACAGATATGACGGTGGGAAAAAGAACACCATCCGTGAACTCGGTGGCGATGTAGAAGCTTTACGATGTGGTCAACACGCCACAAAACCTTGAAGCACAAACCACAAGCTGTTGGGCTGTTTCTGCGATGTGCTGGTCAAACACCTGGAACAACAGAATAAGAGGTCCCAAGAATGCTCCGATTTAGGAGAGGGTCAGGAATTCCAATATCAACTGCATGTAGCGACGTGCCAAGAGTTTGGGCAACCAACATTGTGCGGTGCTTTTATGTAGGTTCTTCCTCTAAGAAAGACTTCTCAGGCAGTCCCATGTATCCAAATTCCCTATAAGACAGGAACTAACTTCTGAATCTTCTGTATGCAGCTATATCCAGCAACAACAAACATACTATACTGTCTACTGTAATTCTCCTATTAGGAACTCTTCCCACTTTGTGCCCGGATCCTTCGAGTCTTGTGCGCGGATCGATGGGCGGGCGCCCGAAGTCGAGTTTGGCGTCGACGCCGATCATCGCCTGATGTTGTGTTCGGCCAGGACCTGCAAGAACCGATCCACAGTCTGTGGAGAGGGTTCCTCGTAGCCGTAGACGTTGCCTCGAGCAGAAGGACGTACCGTTGGGTTTCCGGGTTTCTGTACCATGCCGCCATATTAGGGCTAAACTCCAAACGTAGCTTACATCACAGGACACCAAGCCGGTGAGGTTTTGTTGGTTCTTTTTCCTTTCAAACAAATTTAGGAGTGAAACTCGGGTCATCCGGGGTTAACTCGGGTCATCCGGGGTTTTCAGGTAGTTGATTTTGAATTGATGTGCTTGACCCACACCACTGCGGCTGATGTGAATGCCGGGCCGGTTTGGTGAAGACTTCAGTCAAGCACAGCTTCTTGCCACAAAGGAGAATGACCAATGGACTTTTTGTACCTGGATCTTTCAACTGCAAAATGTCTGCTTTTTCATCTCTGAATCCAGCCAAAAAGGCAAACATCTTTACACAGTTGGAAGATCCCCTCCCTCCCCGGAAAAAGAACGCAAAAGCTGCCTGCGCGCGCGTGCGCGCGAAGTAACTCGGCCTTCGAAGGGATTGTAGGGAATGAGGTTCACCTTGGAGGTCGGTCGAGAGGCCCCAACAAGCGCATGGCCTAACACACGAACTTGGATGACTGAGGGGTTAGGTATGGCGTGGTCCAACTTCACGGAACTCCTTCTTTTTTTCCAGATTGTGTATTTTCTTTGTCATGTTTTGTCTTTGTTGTTGAGCTTTGAGAAGTTACTGGCGGGTGACAGGGCGATTTCTGTTGTGATCCAAGTTCGAACCACTTTGTTTATGCAGCCTGATGCAGCAGCGTCTTCCCGTCTTCAGCGTCTTCCCCCTTTGATCCAACAAAGAAAGATCTCACAGCGAACTCGGAGGATCAACTCGAGGCGATTCGGAGACTTAACGTTCTCAATGTGCATATAGAATCGCCATAAGTCCTGAATCCCTTTTTTTTGTGTTGCACATTCTCAAGAGAATCTGAATACGTGGAGCTGCTTTTCTAAGCACCTACAATCTGTTCAAACAAAATGACACCCGCTGAATGACAATAAGCCAACTGCTGGAAAGTCTACGGTCAATGGCTTGCAAACCATTCAATCCAAACTCTATTGAGTCTGCTGATTCACGTTACCCAGACTCTCCATGTATGCCGTATATGCCTACATTACATTGAAGCATATAATAGCATATATATATATATAGCATACATGGAGGCATATATATATGGCATACATGGAGCGTCTGGGTTAAGTGAGATGCATCTGGTCGTGGTCGTGGTCGTGGTCGTGGTCGTGGTCGTTGGTGTTGATGCCGCGTCCCAAACAAACACACACACACACACACGGTCACACACGCCGTGGTTGTTCAGAGCGAAGGGGCAATGACCGGCTTGTTGGCCAAGAGCTCCGACAGCTCCCGCGCGTGCAGCACCGAGTCGTTGACGTCCTGGCGCGGAGCCGGTGGAGTGGATGGACAGCTCCCGCGGGTTGTGGGATGGATGTGAAGCTTTTACTCCAAAGCCTTAAGCATGTATTTGTATTCCATGTCCCTATATGAAAGATGGGGGGATGGTAATTGGGCTACCCCCGGACCACACCCTACTGAAAGATGGGAACTTGATCCTGTTTTCACCGGTCTGGCTGAGGAGAACATGCCCTACTAAAGACCAGGTCCTGGGTACAAACACCGGGCACAATGGAAGGGATGCAGTCTGGAAGTGACAAACAATTGATCAAACGGGCAAGGAAACACTGCTAAAGTAAGTGTCAGATTCTGGATTTGTCTCTTGATACCTGGATGATCCTGCTACGGCAGCCAAATGGGCTTTTAAACCTTTATGTTAAAAGTTAAAACAGCTATAAAGATCCTGATGCAGTGTGTCATGTGAACCCTAAAGTCACGGGATGCCATGGGCAAATTGAACGCTCACTATTCACTCTTCTTTCTAGCAATATCTAGGCGACTAACACTCCACAACCGGCTTCTTTTTCTCATCCCCCTGTCCTATAGCAAGTAGCCGACCCCACTGTCCTACCCCCACTCTCTTTCTTCCCCCCAAACACACAACTGTTTTTGTCTAGTCCAAGCCGGGAACCCCGCACCTTTAACAGCACGTAGGACATCATCACGGTCCGCAAGCGCTTGCCCTCCTTGAACGCAACAAATTGCTCGGCTCCGCGTCTGCGACGGTCGGCGATAGTAGGGGCATCTGGACGCGACCTGAACCTTGACGGATTGGGCCATGGCTTCTGTTGAACTCAGGGTACCCATGCAGTATGTAACTGAGCTTCTAAGACCACGAGATCAAGCTACGCAAGGCAAATATAGCTGCTCTATGAGTTGCATGGAAGTGTTGCGGGCTGTTGTAACCTGATCCCACACGAACACCTAATTATATCGATCCACAAGCAGTTTTGACATGCCCTTGGACGTGGTTCTCAAATATCATCCAACTTCCAATCCCAGCGGCTCCCCTCTTCGCATAATCGTCCACTATGGCCAAGAGCTTGTCGATCGGAATAGCCTGAAGTTTGTAAACAATCTCAAAAAAGAAGGTTGATTTGGCATCAAGCTGGTCTGGGATAGCTTGTTCCTATCTAATTGAAGCCCGCCAATAACCACCAAACAACCCAACTGCACACCAACTGATTGACGTGACATGTCTTTGAACCAACTTCATGGATGAACAGCATTCAGAGTTAGGCGCGGATTGATCTGTATTCTTTTCCTCTCAACGTACATGAGATCAAACCCCCCTCACCTTGGCCGCAGGCACCAGCTCTTCTCTCAAGGTTTGGTTGGGCGCATGGAGGCTCACCTGGTTGAGCGCGTAAGAAGAGCGCAATAGCGAGACGCTCGAGCCACGAGCCACGCGCGTCTCGACGAAAAGGACGATGATGGTCTTCTGTGTCAAACAAGCTATTGAGCTGTTGATTCTGATCCGCTATGTAGGCGCTTCCCGCCAAGCCGCCGCAAGTCGAATCTTCGGGAGCTCCTGAGAATCACCGTGGCTGGACAGAACAACCAAGCAAGCAAGAATCAGGGGAGCTCCTTTGCAAACGTGTTCTACATTTAGTATTCGAAAGTACTATATTATATATATTATATATTATGAGATATTATGAGTTCTAGAGCACATAGAATCAGAACTCTCTACCCTGGCTGAACCCAAAGAAGCATGTTGTTTGTTTACGGGATTTTACACTACAAAAGCTACAAAATACCAGGTCAAGCATGTGAAAAACGATTTTTTGTTGAAGGAGGGTAAATATATTCGACTCATCAGCAATCGGTGTTGGCGAGGTCTGGAAGTTAGAAGTTGCTTGACCTCAGGCCTAGTATGGCCTAGTATTCTCTTTCTGAGATTTCCCAACTACTTGAAGACCCTGTTGGTGATTTTACAGCAAGTTCCTGACAATTCCATGACCCCGAACCGCATCCAATTGCTTTCACCATTCTACCACTTGAATGTCCAATCCAACGAGCATGGAGCAAAGGATTTAGCATGCCGGGGCGGACTCAAAACCTCTCCAAATGCGTTTGTTACGTTGGCCGAGTTCGCCCTGTCGGACCCTGCGACCACGGTGAGTTCCGGTCGCCACGCCCTCACACCGTCAGCGTCGGCCTCCAATAAGCGCTGCATGTTTTGTGGCGAGCTCCCCACTGTGGACACGGTCCTTGGTTCGCTTGGTTCACATCCATCAATCAGATTGTCAGTCTTCAGTGTTCGCTGACCTGTCGACATAGTGATGAGCAGGGGGTCATGATGAGCTCATCTCCTCGACGGCCCCGTGACTCGGATGATCCGACTTCGAAGACCAAACCAAATGCTGCTTCTAGTTCCCACGTGACATGTTCGTCGGAGTTTTTAGCTCATTGACTTTCACATGTGTTTCAACCGTTGGTTTTCCCAAACTCTCTCTGCAGAGGATGCGGGTCCAACCAAGGACTCGCCAAGCTATGCCAAGCTGCTCAGGCTCTGGTTTCCAGCTGGCTCAAGAAGCAAAAACAAGCAGGTGGGTCAACTAGTATGCGGTGAGAGGGTAACTGTTTGACCATCACCCAGAAAGATTCACAGTCCTCATTCAGGAACATCAGGTCTGGTCCATACATCCCTGCGTGCCACTGCGTGCCACCTTGACACTCTTCAGGGTCTCCCCGACAGAAAGCAATTGCTTACCCTATATAGAGATCCAAGGTACTTGAGACTATTTATGTAGGCTTGGTACCTTCTGAGAAGGAAGATCGATCCCTAGGGTTTTACTATGTCAAGATATAGAAGCTCGCAGGTATGACTCATCGGTTCTCCCAGTGCTAATTGGGTGTCACATGGGACCAGTAAACTCAGTATATACTGGAAAACCAACAAATATGGTCAGGACGGTATAGCTTCGTTGTGCTCCATTGAGCAAAAGCACCTCCAGTGCACAACGAAAACATGCCAGGACCTGGGGTGTCCGAACTACCCAGCGCCCTGCTATCCGGGATCTCCAAACAGCACACCCAGCCCAAGGAGGTGTTTTCGTTTTGGTTCTGATTCGCCACCGAGGCACAGGCTGCTGGGCGCCAGGCCGAAGCGCATTGGATCCACGAAGCCCTTCACCGCAGAGCTCACGGCCTCGTAGTTCTCCAGCGGTTCGCCTCGCCGCGGAAGCGCCAGGCGCCGCGAGGCGCCAGGCAGACTGTCGCAACTGGTGGGTTGCTGGGAGGAGGACTGAAGTGTACCAAAGCACCGCGAGTCACAAGACATGGAGTTCAGTGATATGGCTCGTCCCATCCAGGCACCAAATAGCACATGATGGGGGGACACCCAACTGATAGCACATGGATAGCACCCAACTCCATGGAACTGCTGGGGGTTTGGATGTCTTCGAAAAATCGATCTCCTTCCTCGCACCAATCGCCTGGGTTCTGCCGATGCTCCGGACCGTGGGTGTCGGTGTCGGTGTCCCATGTCGCGTGGCACGGCGAGGTCGAGGTCTTTGGGAAGTATGGAAGTTCCACCAAAAGGCTGGTAAGAGACCATGGTATAGCCAGCCAGCTTCCGAAAAGAATTGCAACATATGACCAATCATACCAATACATCAAACATTCTCTCTCTCTCTCTCTCTCTCTGGTGGGCAAGCAAGTGTAAGCAACTCCACCACTAACACGAGGAAGCTACACCATGGTTGAATGGATATTGATATGCACCGATCTATAGAATATATAGCACCACTGTCAAGTGTGAGAAACACTTGGTTGTCACGGATGTTCGACAGTCCAACCGAAAACCATCGTCGAAGTCCATCCCGGTGAAGTCCGGTGTCCTTCGGAAAGGCCTCCGATGTCGAGAGAAACAAAAGCCTCTGAGTCTCAGACCTAACAGACCTTTAGCTCCCTAACCTGGGGTACCTATGTATGGGATAGTCGGACAGTCGGTTTCTTCCACCGGACGTCTGGAACTGCCGAAGATCACTGAGATCTCCGAGGGACCCATGCCCATGAAGACCACGTTGCAGACCGAGTCCGCATGGCCCTGAAAGGCCAAAGACCCGTGGCAGGCCGGTGGCAGGCGGCCAGAAGAAGAACAACCCGTTTATGGTACCCAAGTGGGGTATTGCCAGAAGAACAACGACCCAAACTCCAAACTCAAGGTAGGTCTGAATTGCTGTATAAATGCGAATGAGGTACAGGTGATGAACAGCTGTTTTGTGAGCCGCTCGTCGGCTTTCTTTGAAGATTCTTGTAGGTCCTAGGGAGCTTTCATCAAACTTAAACATCCAACTCATTGATAAAGTGTTGGAAACTCAGGGTATTTTTTACACCATCATGTAGCTTGGGGAACAGGATTGAGCATGTCCTGTCCGAGGTGCTTGCTCTTGTGGCCCCACCATGTTGCTGATTGTCTCTAGCAGGCTCTAGATGGAACACTGTCACATATCAAACATTTCCGGGGCGTTGGAGGCTGGAGGATTGTGATGAGCATCTATAGCTGAAGTGCTACCTGCACTTCGGAGAAAACTCCCATTCACGTTCACGATTACCTGGCAATGGCATTCGATATATGAATATCGAACGTGAGACGGAGAGTAACCGCTTTCGATTTGCCTCACTTATTGAGAAAGAACCACGGTGGCCTAGGGCTCCTTGTTGTTAGGATAACCACAGCTGACCAGTGGTTTTGTGCGAATTTCCCGGATAATCTTGAAAGTCCAGGGATCCAGTTCCTCAATTCATCGCTTAGTAGAACCCCCACCACCTGAGGTCTTCGGAATGTTGGAAGCATCACCATCAAATGGAGGTTGGCTCGCTTGGAGCTGCCCAAACAGGCCGCACCGGAGTCACTCGGAACACTGGTGCTTTCGAACCCCGGCGGATCCGAACTCGGCGCCTTGCGCATCCGTGCATGGACCAGCTGCTCTTGGATTTCGCCCGCCCAAAGGTTGCCCAACAAGCCCATGGTGCCTCCGCGGTCCGCAGTGCCACTCGCGGGTTTGCGGGTTCACGGACCGCGGTCCGTGGACGTGGAGAGAGAAGAACCCGGATGCGAGGGAATTCCCGTGCGCAAGCGAGAGGGTGTCTTGCAAGCGAGTGCGATCGACTTGCCCATGCCCCCTTAGTCGATTGGAAGATGTACACCTCATCATCTCATGGGCCTCTGGCTACTCCTTGTGGTGACGCAAAGCTGCTCACTCGGATCACCCAGTTCCGCGCAGAACCGCAGTAGGCCTGTGGCGCAGAAGCGGCACTTCAAGCGGCAGCCCACTTGGGACGAAACGCACAGGGTGTCCCGTTCACCTGAGGTGTAACGCCATTCGCCGCGCCGCTTTGGGCGAAGCGCCGTTCCGGTGTCGTTCTGTAGCGGGCGGAAGTCGCGGAAACGTGGAACTGATATCCTGGAGTCTCAAGTATACCCCAGACGCTCCATGTATGCCATATATGCCTACATTGGGGTGGTTTGAGGGGTCAATGTAGGCATATATGGCATACATGGAGCGTCTGGGTACCGTATACCTGTTTTTCCTCAAAAAGGGTCATGACCCCTTTTCGGTCCCAACGACGGTCGGGTGACTCACCGATGCGCTTCGGCCATCGATGACTCGCCGCCGAGGTCCCGGTCACGTCACGTCCGGACGGCCAGACCTCGAACGCATCGGGGACCACAGACCTCTGCAAGCTAGACTGCAGGTGGTTGATGTACCAACGGCGGTTGATGTCCTACCCGCAGTATACTCAGGATGGGGCAAGCTAGACTCATCAACCTGGTGACAAGATCTGACAATTTCTCAACCTACCGCTCCGTCCGCGGACCTTCGTCGGACGGCTCCGAACGCGGTGGTCGGTCTCCGAACGAAACGGCCCGGGATGCCCGGTGGCGCCGGCGTCTGCATCTGGGGCACCGCAGCGGTCGGCCTGGCGCTGTCCAGGATCTTCGGCCTTCGGCCCCACCGTCCGGAGCGTGGGACTGGGACCTCGTGGGATTGGAAGAGTTGTTACCACAGCTGAGTCAATTCTTTGGTGTAAAATACTACGTACTAGGCATGAGATGGCATGACTTAGGCTTTAGGTTCTGAAGTGACATAGGTGTTGTGCAAATTATGTTATCGTCCGGTTTACTACAAACATGACCCAACAGGTCTATAGATTGAGATAGGACTTGTGAAGGCTGAACAAAAAATGTGTCAGGACGCAAGCAACGCTTTTCATCCTTCTTCCCTCGTCCTATTGATGTGATGTTTTGGCGTATATATGACCAGCCTCAGACCTGGACTGGTGAGTCTCCACCCTGGACTGGCCCAGTCTGCAAGCCAGCCGCGTCCCAGAACTCCTGCCCAGGCCCAAGTGGAAGATCCAGCCTCTCCAGTGTGATGGATGACCACTGCCTCCACCTCACTCCCATCCTCGCGGCACAAAAAGGTTCAGAAGAGGATGACAAACCTGCTTCTTTAGGTATGTGTGTGTGCGTGCTGTTCTTCTCACAGTAATGTACCAGGAACATCATCTTGCACTAAAGGGAATTAAAGTCGAACCACTGCCCATAGGAGAGCTTGTTGTATCCATACCGCAGTAATTATATAGTTCATTCCAACATAACAAAAACCCTGTTGATGTACATTGAATTCAATTTACCCTTGGAGCTAGAGCTTGTTTAGATCAACATATTATACAGTATCATAAATATAATTAGCAATGCACACACAAAGTATTCTTACACGACCCTATCCAGGACTCACGTCAAGCTTCTGGCCGACTGCCCACGAGGCACCATGCAAAAACAACAAAGTGTCCTAGTCCTCGTACCACCAAATGCTGCACAGCTCTACATCCGAACCTGTCATTCTTTTTCCTGTACAGCAACATGTTCTCCGGGCCATGTTGAGCGTAAAAACACCGGTCACACCACAACGGGGCCGGTCGCAAGTTCTGAAGGGCACCCTGCTCTGCCCTGGCAACGGGTCGTCTGCATGCGAGCGAGGAGTCAGCATACCTGCAGGTGAGCCCCAGTCGCAGGAGGTAGCCTGCCCCAGTCGCTTGAAGGGGAAAAAAGCTCTCGGTCTCAACGCGCGCTTCCAATTCCATGACAGCAACCTCTGAGTAGCCTCAGCAACCTCTGGGTAGTCACAAGTCGTGCCTTCGGCGTCCACCACTGGTTGCACCAGTTTCTCAAGGCCACTGGCTCAGACTAGCTCGTCAGCAGAACCCGCCCTGCCAGGATTGGACATGTTCTCCTTCAGGTGGCCAAAATGTCCGATCGCCAGCGATCTGCTTGCGTATTGGAATGGGGAGGCCTCTCCCCATTCCGAACCCGGTCTTAGACTCAATCCCATTGCTGCACCGGGTGTCCACCAGCTTCTTCCACGGATCTCCACCTTTCGCTTTCGCCTCACAAATTCAAAGAGACCTTTGATGAGTTCATCATCCCCAAACTCACCTCTACCCAGTCGTATACTGTACCCCCTCATGACGTCATGAACCCCAGATCGGACGATCGGACCGAACTCCGCAATTCGAATCGGAGGCGTTGGTTCGTCCACCTTGCGGAGGATCTGGACACTGGGAGAGAAGCATCCATCCCATCCTGACTGGTGCTTAGTAGGGAATGGATCCAATAGAATCTCTATTGGGGGCTCATTCCCTTATTCCCTCCGAGTCGCACCAGTCAGCATCTGTTATGGCAAACTCCGGTGGTAGCAGCGGTGGCATTCATCCGTCTGTACACTCTCGCTGGTGATTCTTGTCAAGCAAATGACACGTGACAAAATCCCTGACACCAGTCTCCCGCAATGTGTCATCCCCCCCAACTTGAAACTCACACTCTCCTGGAGCTGAATCAGAAGCTTCATTGTTCCGTCCAGCTCCTGTGGCAGGGAAAGAACTCGAATGGTAGGGAAGTGGTTGGAAAAGAACTGAGCGATTGGTAGCGTCGCACCTGTTGGCCCACTTCCACTGCAAAAGTAAATACACTCCCTGGAACTAACATGGAAGTGGAGAATGGCCCCTTGGAAGACCATTTTCCACTACAAACAGGTGGTTTTCCACTTCCATGTTAGTTTTCGGGAGTGTAAGAATTGGATCAAATGTGTCTTGCAATCAACTCATTGAATAGCCCAATAGGAAAAGACATGAGCTAACATGCGCGGTCAAAACGCAACCCCCGTTTGCCAAGTTTTTTTACTGGAGCGGGGTGTTCTGCGGCTTTCTTGAATTCCATGTCTTGGATTGGCAAGCCCAATGTGCAGTTGCGTGGGCTTCTCTTTCCAAACAGGAAGCCCTGCTTGTGTAGTAGAGATCCTCGTAGCTGGAGCTTCACTAGAAAGCAACAACTTGGTTGAGTCATGTGTTTGACCTGCTGGGGAGGACAAATACACCACCTGTTTGGCAATACGCCACTTTTTTGAGTCATATTCCTTCCAAGAACCGGAACCTGCACTGCAGCTGCCTGACATCACATGACCGCCATCCGCTCCGCCGCTCCGCCCGTCCGAGACGTGCGTTTGCAAGAGCGTGGAGGTCAAGACCTAAGGCGCGGCACCGCGCTGGTGGATCTGGTGGTGCATCTTGGAATCGGAATCCTATAGACAACCATGCATCGCAATATACTGGTTGTTCATCTGTTCTAAAAATCCTCTTTCCTCTTACTTGCGCCAAGAGCGTGTCGCTTGGGACTAGTGTGTATGAATTGATAATTGGCAAGGTCGGCAGCTTTCAAAAAGAAACCTGATGAAACAATGACATCCATCCATGGTGGTGGGGCGTCCCCATTTGCTGTCTCTACTCTTGGAATCTGTTGGATACTTTTAGTATCTTTGTGCTTCCAAGGTCTAAGGCTAAAGTGGTAGCACTGCGCCATGGGACAACACACGGTCGGTTCTTCCTTTTCCGTGACGTGAGATGGATGTTTGAAATGCCACAGTGCACCTGAAGACCAAGTGGACTAAGAATAGAGCCATGTGTCAAATAGATGGGTGCATGGTCCATGGACAAAGGGGGGATGTTGGTTGATGTCTACGAAAAAGGCAGGTCTGTAGCACTGTAGCCAAAAGATCTGTCTTCCCTGGTTACACACCAAACTTGTACAGGAAATCACCTGGGCCTCGAAAATTGGTCTTCTATGGTGCCATATACAACACCCCAAGGACATACAAACAGAATCACCTTGCGTATGATGACCGTCCGTCTCTGAATGTCTTCGTTCGCCAAGGCGCTGCAAAGTTGGCCGCAAGCGCGGGGCCCAAACCCTGGTGGTGTGATTTTGGGAAGCTGGTGGATCGATGCTGATATCGATTCTATGTCCTCTCCGAAAAAAAAAAAAAAGAAGAGGAACTGTTAAGGACAGCTACAGTTTGAGTCATGAACTCATTCCTTTGAGAACACGCATAATGACCATGGCTTTTTTGGAGAGTTCCCACATTCATGAAACTTCAACTTGAGGTCTGAAACCCAAGTCGACCTCGGCCGTGCCTTGCGACGAGGTCTGCAACTGGGGCGCGATATATATTGACCTTTTTGTATTGCTTGGCTTGGCGATATCTGTGAGTGAGGAACACCAAGATGTTTAAAGGAATATCTGGAAGAGGAAAAGGAACTCGTGGAGTTCACCCCCGGTTGAACAAACCGCTTATCAAAGCAAGATCGCTTGCAAACGCTCACTCCAACCACCATAGAATTTCAATTTGATTGTGCCGATTTATATTGGGGGTGTGGTTAATACCTTTTCCCGTTATGTGTTTTTTTGGGCGACTCTCATATACAAGTCGGACTCCACTGACTCTCATATACAAGTCGGACTCCACTGGACTTTCAAACGCTCCCAGTCCAATGAGATCATGACCGCCCAGGCCGGGACGCGCGGGCCGCCTGCGGTAATCCAGGCACCTCCTGCAGCTCGATGGCCGTGGGCGGAACGCCACAGCGCAGCTGCGTGCAAACGTGCCTTAGGGTGGGGGTGGAGCGTCGAAAGAAAACAGGCACCAACTTCGGGGTCAAAAGAGGATCTCTGTTGAGTTGGGTCGACTGAGTGGATGAAGGATCTTGCTTAAAAACATGCATCAGATGCCTCAGGCTCCCAGGGAAGACGGCTTGTTCATATTTGTCTCAAAGAATGACAACACATACTGTGAGCTATGACATGACCCGTAGCTGTTGTTTGGTTTGTCATGCTGTTCCAATGATACTGTCTACCAGATATTGTCATACTGTGGTTGGAGTTCTCAAAATCTCTCGAAAACATTCAAAAACTGTATGACAGACCCGAGCAAAGGTCAGGCAAAGGTCAGGACAACCGATCCGAGTCCTACAACCACTCTCAAAATCTGTCAAACAGTATGACAGTATGACATGACCAGCCGCCAGCAGGTATGGTCCGTTGTCCATGGTCATGAAAAACCAACCCTGAATGGACATGTTGAAGGTCCGACCTGGAATGTTCACCGGTCGGCATCCTTCGGCCAGCAGGAGCACCGAACGACAGACTCTCTTGCCATGGAAGTGCCGCGTGCGGGACTGTAGCAGCGGCCACCTCTGGGGTGTTTGCTGTCTATCGTGGGATCCACCTGTGGACTGTAGATGTTCGTTTGTAGATCAGGTGAAGTGTTCCAAACGGAAAAGCTTCCAACATTGGCATGGGCCACATGGCAAGATGGGCTGAAACTCATTAATATTCAACATTATTGTTTCACTAGCAATCCAATTCAAAGAACCCTTGAAGATCACTGAAACGGGCCTCTGATGGCTTAAAGGGGCACCGGCCCTCATTCCCAAGATTTATGAAGCCCCAGCTGCTTTTCAAGGGATCTCAAACGCTTTCGGCGGTCTGAACTCCAACCAAGCAGCCTCCAAATTCGGCCCATGTGAACCTCAGATGGAATGGTCAAAAGAGAATTGTCTCTTGCAGGCGTCACAAACCTACCGTACCTCCCGGTCGGGGTGGTGAATGAACACATGGACACGAAGAACATCACGTCTTGAAACCCGGATACAAAGCCCTCTTGGGGCCCTGGTAGATGTTCTTTTCCCATTGATTCGCAGAAAGTCAAGACATGTGCCTCAGATCGCCTAGATTTTTTTCCCGCACCAGTTGGTGAGAAGTGAGTGAACAGGATACAAAATACATCACAACCCAAACTCCCAAGTAGACAAAGATTCGATATTCTTGTCCCATTCTCTTGCAGCTTTGACAATGTGAGCCGCTGTGC